TACAATGGATCCTCAAACAGCACAAGTTTGAACTGTGCAGATCCACTTATATGCAGATTTTTCCTATAAATACAGTACACTATTATAAATGCATTTTCTCTTGTGATTTTCTTTAAGTTTTTTAATTCCAGTTAGCTAACACATAGTGTAATATTAATTTCATGTGTGCAGTGTAGTGATTCAACAGTTCCATACATCACCTGGTGCTCATCACAGCAAGTACACTCCTTAATCCGCATCACTATTTCAAACTATCCCCCACTGTAGCCATCTGTTTGTTCTCTACAGTTGAGAGTCTGTTTCTTAGTTTGCCTCTCATTTTCCCCTATTATCATTTGTTTTGTTTCTTAAATTCCACATGAGTGAAATCATATGGTGTCTGTCTTTCTCTGACTGACTTCGCTTAGCATAATACCCTCTAGCTCCATCCAGATCATTGCAAATGGCAAGATTTTGTTCTTTTTTATGGGGGAGTAATATTCCATTGTGTGTATATACCATCCATTCATCAGTCAATGGTCAATGGACACATGAGCTGTTTCCATATTTGGCTATTGTAGACAATGTTGCTATAAACATTAGAGTGCATGTATCCCTTCAAATTAGTATTTTTTGTATTCTTTGGGTATTATTTTCTTAACATTTTTTATACCTTACATTAATATAAGAATGCAGTATATAATGCATACAGTATACAGAATATGTGTTAAACAACTATTATTGGTCAAGACTTCTAGTCAACAGTAAGCTATTAGTAGTGAAGTTTTGGGACAGTAAAAGTTATATACAGATTTTTGACTGCACAGGGGATTGGGTTGCTTAAGGATCAACTGTACATGTATTACTTAAAAAAAAGACAAGCATAAAAATACTATGAAGAAAAGTAGGAAGAGGAGCAAAAAGGAGAAGGAACAGTGGGGAGGGGAAGAAGAAGGAGAAGGAGCAGGAGCAGGAGGTGGTGGTGGTTGAGAAAGAAAAATAATCAAGATCTGCCCTTCTGCATGCCCCACATGGCCTAGCCCATGTCTTACACAGAGTGTGCTGGATAATTAAAACTCCCGAATCTACACTACCAGTCTGGAATCTCATCCATCCAAGCACCAGTTCAGTATTTTCACCTCAGGTTAATCTTTCAAAACCAGACTACTTAGGGCATGAGATACTTGGCCTAGGGAATTTTCTGGTACTTGGAGGTAGTCTATGCTGGTAATAAATTAAACCTCACTTAATACTTACTATCTTTAGAGGAGATGATAGGTAAATCAACATTTGGTGAAAACACACACACGCATGTTACATAAACATACACATACACACACACATATATACACACCCTTTATATGTATTTCTGTATATAAAACACAAACATGTTTATCTGAAGCTTAAGATGGACAGGTCAGAAATCACTAGGACAATTTAACATTTCTATATAGGTACCAGTTTTATGCTTCTAATGGTTTTATTTATTTTTTTAAGATTTTATTTATTTATTTATTTATTTATTTATTTATTTATTTGAGAGAGAGAGAGAGAGAGCCAAGCAGGGGGAACAGAAGGCAGAGGGAGAGGGAGAAGCAGGTTCCCTGCCGAGCAGGGATCCCAGATGTGGGACTCAATCCCAGGAGACTGGGATCATGACCTGAGCTGAAGGCAGATGTTTAACCAACTGAGCCACCCTGGCACTCGCTTCTAATGATTTTAAATAAAAAAATAAAAAAATAAATAGCTTTGCTTTCTGTTTAATTGTATTTTAATTAAAAGCTGACAGTTAAAAAAATTACTAGAACAAAAACCTATTGGCAGAAATTTCATCAACATTAGTTTTTGGAGAGACTTGGGGTTCAGCTAATTTCTAGATTGGGGTGTTTTTCCTATAGAAAGTGTTCTAGCCTGGGTTTATCTTGATCTAGGAGGTTAATGTGTTACAAAAGGAAGTTATTTTAAAGTGAATTTAAACATGGTATTACAGAATACTGATAGAGCAATAGCCAAGATAAACAGGTGGTAAAACTTGAGAAAGTCTCAAGAATTCAGTTTTGAATTTATTAGTGTCAAATTGGTTGATTTTAGTAAGTCAGACAGAAAGATAAATACTATATTATCTCACTTATATATGGAATCTAAAAAAAACCCAGACTCATAGAAACAGAACAGATTGGTGGCTGCCAGAGGCAGGGAGAGGAAGAGGGAAAATGGGTGAAAGTAGTCAAAAGTACAAACTTCCAGTTATAAGTAACTTGTGGGGATGTGATGTAGAACATAGTGACTATAATTAACAATACTGTAAATCTGAACGTTCCTAAGAGAGTAGGTCTTAAAAGTTCTCATTACAAGAAAAACAATTGGGGGCACCTGGATGGCTGAGTGCTTGAGCATCTGCCTTTAACTCAGGTCGTGATCCTGGGGTCCTGAGATGGAGTACCACATCAGGGTACCCATAGGGAGCCTGCTTCACCCTCTGCCTGTGTCTCTGCCTCTCGCTATGTGTCTCTCATGAATAAATAAATAAAATCTTTAAAAAAAAAAAACAAGAAAAAATTTTAATTATGTGAGTTAATAAACATTAAGTTGTTGTGGTAATCATTTCATGTTATATGCTTATATCAAATGAATATGTTGTACATCTTAGACTAATACGATGCTATGTGACAATTATATGTCAAACTGGAAAAAAATTGAAGGTATTAAATTTACTTTTGGCTTAAGTCCTTGTGGATAAAACTCACATAAAGTTTACCTGAGTAAAAGAGAAAACTGGATAAATACATATATATCTGATTTGGTTTTTTTAATATCTAACAACTGAAAACTCAGAATCCTTTGGCCCTGTCAGCTAGTTCTATATGTTTGCCACAATTAATTGTCTAGAAGAGAGAATAAAGCACAATACAATGGGTTCTGAGTATTCTTAAAAAAAAAAAAAATCCAGCCAATTTTTTGGGATGTCTGGAGTCTGAGAGATTTTATCCATTCCCTTAATAATCACTACAGCAATGATGCATTACATTGAGAACAGTTCTGAGTAGTGACCATGAGACATCAAAAAGCCATAGTTATCAGAGAGAAAGATTCATAGGCTCATAACATTTTAGATGTGGAGGACTTAAAAATCACCTACTGCCTAGTAATGCAAGGAAATGAAGTGGAGCCATTTTCAACAATATAAACTGAAATACACATTTTAAATTAATCCTTAAGGTGCACCTGGGTGGCTCAATGGTTGGGCATCTGCCTTTGGTTCAGAGTGTGATCCTAGGGTCCTGGGATCGAGTTCAGCATCCAGCTCCCCACAGGGAGCCTCCATCTCCCTCTGCCTGTGTCTCTGCCTCTGTGTGTGTGTGTGTGTGTGTGTGTCTCTCATGAATAAATAAATAAAATCTTTTTAAAAATTAATTAATCCTTAAGTAACTGAACAATTAAATATGTGAAAACAGTAGTTTTCCATTCCCTTCTACCAAATAAGGCTCTACAATACAAGGGAATTTTACCATGACGGGCTTTCTTAGGTTGGGGGAATACGAGCTTAACATAAACCCCTCTTTTCCTCCATTCTCCAACTCATATGGAGAGATAAATATTCTATTTTTCAAATTATCTTTGCAGAAGATCATATATTTTGATTCACAGCATTCGGAAGCATGTGGGGTAGAAAAAGGAAGACATTTAGGATTAGATTTTCATTTGGATTGTAGTTTTGACCACCCATACTGGTGCGAGCCAGGAAAAGAAAAAGACTAATTTTTAGAAAATTTGGTAAAAATAAACAAGAGGATAATATTCATCTACCAAGAGTAAGAATCTTCCCAGTGATTAAAAAAATCTACACAAAATAATTGACATACAGAATTGCTGATGTTTAGAAACAATGGAGTTAAACTTTTAATTACCCAAATTATTACCTTTTGTAGCTGCAGAGAAAGAAGTGCTGTCAATGCAATGTAGTTGAACAAAGGACAAGCTTGTTCAAGGAACCAAAATTTCTAATTCTAGAAGAATGTGATGCTAGGACCTTTGGGGGCACTGCGTGCTCCCTTGTATTCAGCCAAACAAGAGGCCTGCTATCACTCCTTCCATCACCGCAGAGCAGAAACAGATATTGCAGAAGCATTATGACCTGTGGAAGCAGATTCTCCCACCTTTGTTTAGTTTTCAATCATCCCTTACAGGCTGAACTGCATGCTCTTGTTTTCTTTTCCTGGATCTCGGCAAAATGCTTATGTAACAGCTTGGCCTTTTCACAAAAATTAGGTTCTGTGCTGAGACGAGTCACTAGCTGTATCCAGAGTCTTAAACCGTGAAATCCCAAAATATATTATTGTAAAGGTCTTGAGTGTTCATTCAGATTATAAATTGGGGCATCTATACAGAATCCAATCTGAACTGAAATGTAGGCTCTCCAGTGTAGCTGGGGTCTATGGAGACAAGGCAGTAGATGGAATTCTGGAAACAATGTTGGAAGACCCTGAATGTCAAGGAGCCCAAACTATATTCAATAGATATAGAAAGCTCTGGAGGATTAGAAAACAGGGAAATAATATAATCAAAGTGGTGCTGTTAGGCCATGGAAGATAGAAGTTGAAGGAGAAGAAATTAGTTTTTAAACATTTGCATATGCAGTAAAGAATGTCGGAAAAGCATTCCAACAAGTTACTAGAGTAGTTCAGTAATTCTCTCTGTGTGATAGAATTATCAGTGCTTTTTATTTTATTCATTTGTGTTGTCTAACTCTATAGAGAATGCATAGGGGTTGCTTTGCAGTAAAGAAGGTTTAAATTATGTGTTTAGTTTAAAAATGAAAAAATTCAAACAAAAACAAGAAATAATAAAGCAAACCCCCACGCATGTGTCACCCAGATTAAACAGTTGTCGAGATTTTGCCATAGTTGCTCCATCTCTCTCTTTCTTCTTTTTTTCTCATTCCTTTGCCGGTATCTTGCCCTGGGTCGTTCCTGTGTCTTTCTGACCTGGCGTTAGTTCTTAATAGCTTCCTTGTTTTCCAGCACAGCAAGATGTCCCACACTCCTCTTAATTTCCTGCCACAAGCCTGGAATCAGCCTATCTTTCAAGGTTTCCTTTCAGCAAATAAGAAGAAGGAGAAGGAGGAGGAGGAGGAGGAGGAGGAGGAGGAGGAGGAAGAAGAGGAGGAGGAGGAGGAGAAGTTTTCAGAAATAAAGGTATAAACGAAGAGCCAAGTTTATACAGAAGTGATTTCTGGATGGGTGCTACCATCCTGGGACTTGTGAAGCAAATATTAGAAGTAGCATTAAATAAGTGAAAATATGTAAACATTCTGAAATGAATCTGCTTTCCAAAGCAGACTTAGTATTAAAAACGTGCCCCAGTAGATAACCCTTCTTCAATTTAGGAAATACTCTGTTTCTTTATGGTCTTTGCAGGAAAAAATTTCACACCAGCTCTTACTGGGTAGAATTTAGCATCTGTGCCACTAGATCCCTCATTTTCATAAATTGGAGCAAAATGGTATTATCTAACACCTTCTCTTTTCTGTGTCAGGGGACTCTTCATCCCTTCATCCAGCCTAAATAGATAAAGTACCATGGCTCTGTTCACACCATGGGAGCGAAGCTTTTTTTTAACCTTTAAAGCAGTGATTGTTAACTTTCTCTTCCTTGGCTGCTGGAAGCTCAGCTGCCATCATGAAGGACACAGTAACGATCTGGAGCAGGAGGTTCATGACCAATTGACCACTTCAGCAGAAACAGATGGTCATTGATATTCTTCACCTTGGAAAGGTAACAGTACCTAAGAAAGGAATTCAGAAAATCATAAATAAATAAATAAATAAATAAGAAAGAAAGAAATTCAGGAAAAACTAGCCAGAATGGACAAGAGCACACCAGATGTCATCTTTTTTTTTTTTAAGATTGTATGTATTTGTTCATGAGAGACACACAGAGAGAGGCAGAGAGAGGCAGAGGGAGAAGCAGGCTCTCTGCAAGGAGTCTAATGTGGGACTTGATCCTGGGACCCCGGGATCATGCCCTGAGCCAAAGGCAGATGCTCAACCACTGAGCCATCCAGGCTTTCCCAGATGTCATCTTTGTATATGGATTCAGAACCCATTTTGGTGGCAGCAAGACAACTGGCTTTGGCATGATTTAGGATTCCTTGGATGATGCAAAGAAAAACAAACCCAAACATAGACTTGCAAGACATAGCCTACATGAGAAGAAAAAGAGGTCAGGAAAACAGCAAAAGGATCCCAAGAACAGGCCAAAGAAAGTCAGGGAGACTGCAAAAGCCATTGCAGTTCTGGCAATAATAAAAAAAAAAAAAAAAGTGAGCTAGATATTGGACAACAGAAGGAGTAAAGATTCTGCAGTGACTTTATCTGTGATGATTGTGCAGATTTTTCATGAGAGGATTAATAAACTAAGAACTTAAAAAAATAAATGACAGCTAAAGCATAAGGAGGGTTCATGACATGTGTCAGCACCATTCTCAATCCTTACGTGCGTTAGCTCTTTTAATCTTGACAATGCTGTGAAGTAAGGCACTAATTACCTTCATTTTTACAGATAGACACTAGAGAAATAAAGGAGTAAGGAGCCCAAGCCCACTTAGTCATGACTTTTAATGAGTCGGAATTTGAATCCAGGCATTCTGACAACACACTCACTCAGGGTTTTTCCTTTCCTTAAGCCAATGGAAAAATCCCAAATCTCAAAACCCCGGCCTGAGAGAAATTGCTCTATGTGAGAGGGAAATACCAGAACCATTCACACTCCTGTTTTCTTGTGTTCATGGTGGACAGTTCTGGGTCCCACACTCAACAGGGAGTCTGCTTGGGATTCTCTCCCTCTGCCTCTCCCCCCACTCTCACTCTCAAAATCATTGAAAAAATTAAAAATTGAAAAAAAAAAAGCAAGCAAGCAAGCAAGGGAACAAACTGCCCACAGTCACCATTATACTGTTCTGGCTAACCCAAAACCAACATGTTTGGTTGACAAATATACCATTCTTAATCAGAAAATAACAACAACAACAAAATAACTTTTAAAAAAGTGTTTATTGAAACTTCCCTATCATTATAGGGTGCTTGTCGCATTGTATCACACAAGCTCCATGTGGCTAGGGACAACATCTTCATTTCTTTTTTTTTTTTTTTTTATGATAGTCACACACAGAGAGAGAGAGAGGCAGAGACACAGGCAGAGTGAGAAGCAGGCTCCATGCACCGGGAGCCCGACGTGGGATTCGATCCCGGGTCTCCAGGATCGCGCCCTGGGCCAAAGGCAGGCGCCAAACCGCTGCGCCACCCAGAGATCCCAACATCTTCATTTCTATAGTTCAGACAATCAGTCCTAGCACATGGGAGGTAAACGGCATATAAAGCAGATAATGTTTAAATGAATGAAATTTGGTGAAGAGCCCTGGATCTCACATATGGCACTGTGCTGTACAGGTGGCCGTGTCTTGCCAAAATCCGAGTACTTTTGAAAGTGAAAGACGATGCTCATGCTATTACACCAGGACGATGGACCCTTCCTATCGGAGCAGTTTTACTACATAAAGCCCAACTGACCAAATCAGCACAGTCTCAGGGCAAGGTAACGTATAAATGTGTTACAGTAGCATATTTTAGAAGAAAAAGGCCGATTTGTAGAAAAATTTGTCAGACAGACCTGCAGCTCCCTCCTCTTTATCTGTTTTTATGCCCATTCATGGAAACGTTCCCTGCCAGTTTTACAGTCTTTCATTCTGTTCTAAACAGCCTAAGTGTCTGCACATGTCTGCCTGTACCTTTAGTCTTTGTTCTTAGTTTAAATTATAAAATAAATGATAAGTACTTTGCAATGTTTTCATGCATTTTCTAAAGATTTTATTTATTTATTTGAGAGAGAAACAGAGAGAGCATAAGCAGGGGAGGGGCAGAGGGAGACGTGGACTCCCCGCTGAGTAGGGAGCCTCATCAGGGCCCGTCCCAGGACCTTGGGATCACCACCCGCCCTGAAGGCAGATGCTTAACTGACTGAGCCACCCGGATGTCCCTCTAGAAGCATTTTTATACATAATTCCAATTTTAAGGATTAAACTTTGGGATCATTACAAAATTTTAGAGGTGGCAAAACTTTACAGGCAATTCAGAGAAGTATCTGTTCTTTCTAGTAAAAGAAAAAAAAAGAACTGTGTAATCTTTTGATCTTTGTCTCTGTGGGGCAGAGAAATCAGTATTTCTGGTTTCTATGAATTCCTTCCATATTCCAGCATTTTGGGACTAGTGGTAGTGGGGGAAATCTGGTTGTTTACATCCTTATAAATGATTAAGCTTTCCTGTTTTGTCAACTCAGCCTTTTAAGTCTCCTAGGAACTAGAGCAAGGATATAATATCATCTGTGGTGTTATTTGCAAACATAAAATGAAATGACTGTGTGGCTCATAGATACCACTTACATTCCACTGTAGACAAGAAAACAGGAAACATAAGCATAGTAGTTATAGATTTAAATGGTTTTCCTGTTGTTCCATAAAACACTTGTTTCATTTACTCCTCCAAGTCTATGCAATTCAGCTCAGCTACTGTGAAGTAGAAAATATTACCAATTAGAGCCGCAGTATGCTGGTCCTGAATCACAGGGCTTCAGTACCCTGGTGTGTTATGATACCCGAAGCTATACCTTGCTCCCTGCCTCAGCACACACATCGCAGCAGGGCTGGATGTGTTCAGGGGCTTGATGTATACTGACTGAAAATTAATAGAGAGCAAAACCCAAATGGCACAAAGTTAAGACACAAAAAGTTTTTTTATAAGGTAAAAATATGGAAAGCCATAACAATAAAAATGAAGGATTGATAGATGCTCTGGCCCCTCTTAGTTTGCTAAGGCTAGATCTCTCCATTGGCAAAATGGGGAGCGACTGATGGGCCAGTTAGGCCCTCACATCAAATTGAAGAGGTCTAAAACGAGCTCATTTTCTCCTTTCTCTGCCATTCTACTCTAGCGGCTTGGTTAATGACAAGCCCCTGGCAAAGGCCAGAAACTGAAGTCATGTTAGCAGAAGGCCAAGCCCCTTCCATCTGCACAACAGTCTGTGGGCAAATGCTATGGACCATTTCCTCTCTGAGAGATTTCTTGTATGCTTTGCTCACTGTTCACTCCCATTGCCTCACTCTGGTCCAGGGGTTCGTTAGTGGACCATCAGAACAGTTCTCTGGCCGGTTCCTGCAGCACCACATCATCCTCCACTTCCTGTGTGTCCCACACACCCTCTGAATGATAAATGTATCTTCCTGAAATTCCACTTTCATTTTCTTCTACAGGAAGGTTCAGCAGGCACATGGACTCCAAAGCCACCCATAATCTAGGTTCCTACTAGATTCTCAGTTTTATCCTACTGGTTCTGAATATTTATTCTCTGATCTGGTCCAGGTCCTCTCTACACAGGCCCACAAACAAACTACAATCCCTCCCCACTGTTCTTTGGCCTCCTCACCTGGCATACCCTCCTTTTCCCCTCTGTCCACTACAATTCAGCAGCAAGTTCAAGCTCTAGCTTCCACCCTTGCCTTCTGAATTATAATGTTTGGCCAACATTTGACTTTTTTAAAAAATCAGCTGCAGAACGCTGTGTTTTCATCATTGGTGGTCCATTCAACCTTGAACAGAGGAGGCAGAGGGAGCATCATGGTCCTTGTGGGCAAGCTTCCATGTCAGATGTTCTCTTGTAAGAATGTTATCTTGGTATGGAAACTGTGTCCAATAAATGAATGGATAAAGAAGTGATTCACACACACACACAAACACACCACACTGGAATATTACTCAGCCACAAAAAAGAATGAGAGCTTACCATCTGCAACAACACGGATGCACCTAGAGGGTACTGTGCTATGTGAAATAAGTCAAACAGAGAAAAACAAATGCCATATGATCTCACTTACATGTGGAAACTAAAAAACAAAATAGACTCTTACATACAGAGAACAATCTGGTGGCTGCCAGAAAGGAGGTTGGTGGGGAAATGGGTGAAATAAGGGATTAAGAAGTACAAATTTCCAGTTATAAAATAAAAAAGTCACAGGGATGAAAAGTACAGCACAGAGAATATTGTCAATAATATTGTAGTAACCTTGTATGGTGACAGATGGTGACTACAATTATTGTGGTGAGCACTAAGTAATGTATAGAATTGTTGAATCAATGTTGTGGATGTGAAATTAATATAAATTGAGTGTTAATTGTATTTCAATTTAAAAAAGAGAAGAATATTACTCATGGGACATTCTCTGAGTCCAGGCTCAAGGATCCCACCTCCAGAAGTTTGCTAGCCAGTGGAAGAGACGATTTGTGTATGTGCACCTGTGTATATGCAGGGCAGGAGAGGGGAGTCCGGGATGGCAGTGAAGCAAAGAGGCACCACAAACCAAGGGAACTAAGGAATTCAGGAGAAAGGTCAGGTTAATGAAGGGGAGATGATGTAGTTGGTTTGGGAAATGCTGAGATTGAAGTGCGGGTAGGACATCCATCAATGGACCCAAGCTTGTCTCAGGGTTTGCCCCTTCAGATCTGCATCCATCCTCCCCCATTCTGCACTACACTCTAGGCTCTCAGGATATTTATCTGAGAGACGACATCTGTAGCTTCCCATGTCCTCTGGCTTCTGTTTGAGCTTGGCCAATGGGCAGCTGAACAGAAGGAGGGAAGAGGGTGAAGTCTAGGTATTTACTTCTCTGTTTTTTTTTTTTTCTAATGAGGCAGCTGCAGACTGGTGGAGTCCCTCAGTATAGGTGGAAGGGCATGTTTTCTCCAAGAAGCCTGCTCTCCATGATGTTCTCTCCTTCTAGGTTCTGGTAACTTCTCCTTATCCTTATCCCTTTGGATTTAGGGCTGGCAAAAGCCATTAGCTGCCTATGGTTTCCCTGTCCCCAAACCTTTGTAAACAGTCTCTTTGTAAATAAACCCTCCTGGAGTTGTCCCAGTTTTGATGTACCATCTGCTTCCTGCTGAAATCCTGAGTGATACATCATGTTGATCTGGCCATTGGGATTTCCGGTCTAGAATCAGGAAGGGAGATAGAAATTGTGGAGACTAGTCTAAGCTGAGGGAGTGAAGGACATTGTTGACTGAGAAGGAGAGGAGGAAAAGAGGAAAGGCAGACGGTTGGGGGAACTTCTACCCCCGCGGAGAGAGAACACACCAGCTTCAAGACTGAGAGTAATGACAATGCTCTATTCTTAGGGCCCTGATGTTCCTGATAACATCCTTCCATTGCATAGGAATGCAATCATCTTATTGATGGGGCAGTCATTTGAAAACATCATCCGGGTCCCTGACAGCTCAGACTGGGCTCTTTGTGTATACCTATTTGTGTAGGAATTTCATCTTTCAAATTTCAAATTTTTATTTTTAGTAGGCAATCCATTCACATGATTCAGCATCAGAATGTAAAAATAAAAATAAAAGGCGTACATTGGGAGTCCGTCTCCCATCTCTGTCCTCATTCACCTTATTTCTTGTCTCCTGCTTTCTCCAGTACTATTTATTGGTTGCTTATACATTCTTCCCAAGTTTCTTTATATAAAATATAAGCCAATATAACCACATATCCTTATTTCCCTTTTTCACACAAAAGGTATTATGCTAGGGTCACCTGGAAGGCTTAGTGGTTGAGGGCTGCCTTTTGTCTCAAGCTGTGATCTTGGGGTTCTGGGATCAAGTTCCACATTGGGCTCCCCGCAGGGAGCCTGCTTCTCCCTCTGCCTGTGTCTCTGCCTCTCACTCTGTGTCTCTCATGAACAAATAAATAAAATCTTTTTATTTTTTTAAAAAAGGTATTATGCTAGATATACTACATCTTGGACTTTTCCCCCACATAATGGTATACCCTAGAGACAGTTCCATCCTCCTCTCCAGTTTTTTCCCTGCAAATGGCATAGAACCCCCTCAAGTGGAGGTAACACTGTTTATTAATACAGATGCAGAGGAGCTTTGGTGAGTGCTGCCTCCCAACCATAGGTCCCTCATTATAGCTCTCAAGCACTTTCCCCTCCTCACAACCATCCAGCGTCCCACCCTGCCCGCTTCTCTTCAGGCTTTGTCTCCCACTCAGTAGAGAAAATTGAAGGCTTCAGAAGGATCTCCCTCAATTCCCTGTTATCAAATATAAAACCCCCACCTACGTCGGCACTCACCCTCTTCTTCCCTCAGGCTGCAACACAAGACACACTTTACCTCCTGTTTAATGCCAACCCTTTCATCTCTGACTAGGATCCCATCTCCTTCCCACCTTCTCGGGAGCTTACACTACTAATGACCCTAGATTCCCTCTTGTACATTAAACTTCTCTCTTGAAATTGGATCACATAAAAATACAACCACCACCCCACCCCTTGACTCTATTCTCTCTCTAGCTACCATTCTCTCCTTCTCCCTCAGAGTCACACTTCTTGGGAGAGTTGCCTAGAGTTAAAGTTTCAGTCTCCATGCTGGCTACTCACTCCTCCATCCATTTCAGCCCCATTCCACCTCCATCTAACCACCGAGGCCTTGCACACTAAGCGACCCATGACCTTGAAGGTCATTCAACAAATGTACATTTTGGTCTTAGCCTTATTTGACTTAGCAACATTTGACACTCTTTGTGATTCCCTCCTCCTTTGGAAATTCTTCCTTTGGGTACGCTACCTACTCTTGGATTTCCTCTTACAAGACTGGCTTCTTCTCCATTAACTGGAAATGTTTTTTAGCCCATAGTTAGGTATTCAAGAAATAGCCCCTGAAGTAGGGGGA